ATAAGAAGGGGGGGTATTTTCATGTATTAGTGTGTGTTTGTGTGAATGTGTGACTCGTGTGAATATGTTGGTCCTCTATGATTAAAATGTATATGTGCAGGATAAACACACACATATGCTGACACTGCACACACATACACACATATACACATGTATACATACTAGGGATGCACCGATACCGGTATTTTGGTACCGAGTACCGATAATTTTTTTCCGGTACCAATTACCGAGTAACGGAAGTCCCATTCAGGAAGCTGGGCAGCGTGTAATGACTCGCCACCCGGCTTCCCGATTAACAAGAAAGTCTGTCCTCTCTTACCTCGGCATGTCCAGCCTGTCATCCCCGGGGCCTCTCCAGCCAGGAGCGGCCTTCCTCCGCTACACAGCCAATCTTGCCAGCCAATCATGGAAGCATGCTGGCTCCATGCTCATGATGAGGGAGATGATGCGCTGCCCGGCTTCCTGATTGGTCAGCTTCCCGACCAATCAGGAAGCTAGGCAGCACGTCATTACCCGCTTCCCTGCTTCCTGATTGGCCGGGAAGTCGGCTCCATGCTCTCTCATCACAAGTGACGAGAGAGCATGGAGCCACTTCCCGGCCAATCAGGAAACCGGGCAGCGGGTAATGACGCGCTGCCCGGCTTCCTGATACCGGAAATATTGTGCTAGGCATCGGAGCATTTGGGCGAGTACGAGCCCAAATACTCGGTATTGGCACTGATATCGATACTAGTATCGGTATCGGTGAATCCCTAATACATACTGATATGACACACAGAAATATATCACACATACCAACATCACTCACAGAAATCCTGATAATACACACAAAACATCACTAACAAATATACTGTCGTTGCATACAAAAAAACCATCACAAACACATACACTGACATTATAAACACACGCAGACATTAACACTGCCACTGTATATAGTTATATTGTTTTATTTTGAAGTATGACATTTGGCAAACAACCCCCCTGGGAGAAGAAAATGTATCCAGTGGCCCCAAATGAATTGAGTTTGAGACCCCACTACTGTAGAAAGAATACAAATTACAGCTCAGACAGGAGGAAGAGGCCCCAGTAACCACCAACATTTCCATAACAAGGCCACCAAAATCCTCAGAACCTAGTCCAAGATGCTCTGCGCCCAGCAGGTGAATAGGAGCTGGATACTGTTTGGAGAGTGAGAAAAGTCACACAAGCACGCAAAGTCATGTTGCATTTTGTCTTTTTTTTAATAGATCAGACGCCGTCATGAATAAGGAAGGGAGGTTAGTTACGGTACCTGACCCAACCTTCTACATCTTATACGCACGAGGGACTTCTCAATACAAGTGGAAGGAATAAAGATGATCGGATCAAGAGGCATAATTTATTGTTAGTCCTTAAAGCAGCATTGGGGGAGGAAAACATTTGTGACTTTAACAATTTCAAAAGCATCCTGGTACAGAATCCTTTACACAATTACAGATTTTACCAATGACATCATCTGTTAAACATGTCATTTAAAAAAAATAAACATAGATCCTTAAAATGTAATCCTGACCAAACTCATACACACATGGCAATAGAGTCCATTTATCTCTGGAGTGCACATCTTGACACGCAGAATAATGCTCTCCTGTAAAGAGAGACAACACATCCTAACTAACTATATATAATATTAGGATCTGGGGCCTAGTGCTTCCAGCGCAACAGTCCAGGCCAATAAGGAATATCTTTAGCACACACACTAAGGTGATAAGGGCTGAATCTTCGGAAACCAACTCAAAAACATTTCCACTCAAAAATAATTTGTTCTGACAATGCCCCTCCAGTGCTGTCTCTTGAAGTGTTGCAAACACGTATTAACTCGGAAAAAAACTTAGGAACCATCCTGAATTCTTGAAGAAAAAATTAGCCGGCCTCTGATCCAGCGCAGTCCCACTGTGTCTGTCCGACGTGCATGCTCACGGCTGCATGCACTCACCTCCATTGTCTCTTCTCCTGCCGATGATCTCTACTGCACATGCGCCTGCTCTACTCCTGCTTGGCCACTCAAGAAGCTTCAGATCTACAGCTGGGAGCGAGTGGCGGAGACACAGGTAAGTTTTTACCATTTTGTTAAGTAAATTTTTTTAAAGAAATTAAAAAAAATGTTTTTGCATATATCTACTGCTTGCTAGCAATGGATATATGCAAAAAAAAACAATTACAACCACCCAGTGCTGTTCATACATGGTCCTTAATGTTGTGTTGCTGCGAGTCAAAAAATAGAGTGCATATCATGTTCTGGAGTCATTGCTCCTGGACAAATGCCTCTATTGAAGTATATTGAAATGCCCCTCAAATGCTCGGTCAATGCTCCTACAGCATTTTTCGGGTATTTAAGAAGCGTTGCACAAAAAAAATTGTGGCCACTGCTGGTCACTTCCCTTTACTATATCACTTTACCCTTTAACACACTCACCTACTTGCAGGGCATTTTGCAAGCATATTTGACGCCTCCTTACTGCCTTAAAAATGCTTGCAGAATGCCTTGTAAATACTATAGGCGCGTTATTCAGCATTGCTCTTTCATTACATTCTCAACGCACATTAAAGAACCCTCAATGTATCATCCTGCAGTGAACAGGCTAGAAGCTGCAGGATATTGATAATTCTACAGAAAAGGGCTTATAGATTTACTAGTTTAAAATGTAATTTTTGGTAAATTACAACACTTTTAAACTGTAAAGATTTACATTTTAAAACTGTTGTTACCTGAAAAGTTGTATTTTTAACATAATTTTTTTGGCAACCACAAGTGCCATTTTAGTTTGATAAAACAGAAAAAAGGTTTTGGATTTACCGGTTAAAAATGTATTTTTAAATGGTAAATTGCACAGTTTAAAACTGTAAAGTTGTTTACAGTTTTAATGTATTTTTTTTTACAGAATGTTTCTGGCAACCACAGCTGCCAGATTTTTTCTGTAAAAACGGGATTTGTTTTTACAATGCAATGTATCATATCTACTTAGGGAATGTGCAATTTCCTGGGAAGAGGAAGTTGTTAATACTCAGTAATCACCAAGTCACTCATGGTTTAAAATTAAGGATCATTCGTGTCTATGGGGAACCAGTTCTTCATTTGTCCTGGCTCAAACTAGTCAAAGCAAAAGGAAATTGTAATAATCAACCACCGGGGACATAAAAGTAGAAAGATAACGCATTGCAAGCCGGAAAAGTGGCACATACAAGTTAACACTACAACCTACAAACATTAAACCTAAACATCTTCATCATATACAAAAACAAGTTTAAAACTATTCAGTCTGTTTTTGCTGGTGTGAATGAAAGAATAAAAACAGATACAATACATTTCTTTGGTGTCTTGTTCTTATATAAACTTTGGTTCCTTTTTTTTTCTTTGGCTTTTTGCTTTCTGGAAAGTTATAAAAGTTGTTCCTTTGCACAGGCTTGATTCTTTTATAGCAAGTGCTACAGGGCATTAACGAATAATATCAGCACAGTTTTCAGTAGAATTGTTAGCAAACACGTCTTCAGTGTGCTGCTGCTGCTGCTGCTGCTTCTTTCAGTAGCGCTGCAACTTGTTGTGAGTGGAATTGTATCGCCCGTCATGACTTTAAACTGGAAGTTATAAGTCATTGCTGAGAAATCGACACTCTCTGGTATTGTTATTTTGGTTAAAATTGTTGCGTTCTGCACTGAGACCTAAAACATTGGAGAAGCAGAGAAGCGTGAATAAGATGAACCTTCTGGTTTTACCAACTGTAAGTAGAGAATTGTACTTTTGTAACAAACAGTACAGATTGCAAAACAGGCCAAATTCCGGGGAAAAAGGAAGAAGAAAGCAGAAGTGATGTACAAACCCTAGTTCTGTCATCCACTGACAGCATTTTATAAGTTATTCATCTTATGGTGTTTATTAATCATTTACTTGCCTCTGAAATCTGTATCCTTATTACTTACATTAAATGTGTACGTTCCGGGAAGCAGCAAGTAATAATATTCCCCGTACTTGTTTGTTCTATATGGACATATACGTTTCCTTCCCTGGACATCCACAATGGCATTCATGACAGGTTTTCCATCTGTGTCAAACACCTGTCCCTTTATTCCTGTTAAATCAATGGACATACAACATATCTTACAGGAGAATGGTGCCTTCCTACCACCCAACATGTTATATCTCGCTGGCAGGGCCCTCCTAAACAACTTGTTTTGAATTGTATTGTAACTGTATTATCTTGCTTATATTGTAAAGCTCTGCGCAAATTGTTGAACGCTATAAATCTAGTAATCCATGTTCATGCAGCCCTTCCATGCCATGATTTACCCATGGTCTTTTGACTCCTGTAATTATAAAACACTAATAAACTGAATGTCTTTACGTTACATATCTGTTTATGTGTGAGTAGGAGGGGTGTTCATGGTGTCTTCATTCCGATGTGCTCCAATACATGGATCAGCAGCTTTAAAATACTTGTCTCAAGCGTCATTTGGCTGCGGTGTCTTGATCAGTAATCTCCTAGAGATTTTCTCAATGACTCCTATACTGTACCTCAACACATATTATGTGGAAAGCACAGAGCAGGACACTGCTGCTAGAAATGATGCAGAACAGACAGTTTGAAAGCGGATCTAGCACAGAGGTCAGTTTAATTTATTTCCCTTCCGGTCTATATTCTGTAAAGCTGTTATGAAGGAAATATGTGGTTTGCCAATGATGAAGTCCTAGCGGGGAAATATGCATGAATTGGAAACGATACTAAATTTGGACAAGCAGGGCTAAATGTAGACGAGGGAAGCCGCCGCTCGTTTTGTACAAGTGACAGCTGCCCAGATCACTTGTATAGCAGTCTGCTTGTCAC